ATCCATTTCAACTTGCATTGCACCTCTCCACTCCGGGACTGATAGGGCTTCTTGCACTGTTCTTGGAATAGGGACATTAGCAATGGAAGTGAGATAGGACTTGTAGGAGGGAGATAGGCGATCATAGGATAAGAACTGGGAGATGTAGTGGGCTGTAGATGTGGTGCAATGTCGTTTTCCTTTACGGATGGCAATGGGAAGGTCAAGGTCGTCTACAGGGGGTGAAGTGGCAACAATGGAAAGAGTCTCTGTGGGCCCTGGGACTGTAATATCTAGACTTGGAGCCGCATAAGAGGTTGGAGCTGGCCGGGACTGCTGATGACCGGGATCAACTTGCCTGCATCGCTTGTGATAGACTCTCAACTCCTGATCCCCCTGACCACCCTCGCTACTGCAGCCCTCATCACCCAATGGAATAGGTAAATGAACAGCCCCAAAAGTATTAACCTTGCCCTCACTGCACTCCCCCTGAAGAAAAGGACCCAAATCCCCACCCACGCTCACTACTCTCCTCCTGAGGAGAGACCCGAGAATAGTAGGGTGTCTCCTCAAAGAAAGTGACATCCATGGATACAAACTTCTTCCCTGAGACAGGATCATAGCAGCAATAACCCTTTTGAATTTGTGCATAACCAAGAAATATGCATTTGGAGGCCTTGGGTTTGAACTTGGAGTGATGGGGACCGAGAAGCTGAACAAAACAGGTACAACCAAATGTTTTCAAGGGAATAGTAAACAACTCCTCATTGGGGTATAGAAGGGAAAAATGAGGTTTCATATCAAGAACCCGGGAAGGAACCCGATTAATAAGATATACCGCCGTGAGGATAGCATCACCCCAGAAGCGAATAGGGACATTGGAGGTAAACATAATACTTCTAGCCACCTCCAAGATGTGCCTATTCTTCCTTTCTGCAACCCCATTCCGCTGAGGTGTACGAGGGCAAGTGCTCTGGTGGATAACCCCATGATTAAGAAGGTACGATGCCAATGGCTTAGCAAAGTATTCCTTTGCATCATCAGATCTAAGAACTTTGATCCTGGCATCAAACTGGGTTAGGGTCATTTGGTGGAAGTTTTGGGTCAGGGCGGGAACCTCATCTCGTGAACGCATAAGATAAACCCAAGAAAACCGAGTATGGTCATCAACAAATAACAAAAAATATCTGTACCCACCCATAGAAGGAATGTGATATGGCCCCCAAACATCAGTATGCACAATATCAAAAGAACTATTACTCCTTTTATTACTCAATGAATAAGAGTTTCTAYAATGTTTAGCAAACTCACAACTTTCACATTTCAACTGAGACGACTCAACAGACTCAAACAAAGTAGGGAACACACTCTTTAAGGACCGAAAAGACAAAGGTTATGCCAAAGCATAACCGGACTCGCAACCTGAGAAACAAGTGACTTCTTATCCACTGACTCTTCCCGACGAGAACTCTCCCCGAGCAGATAGATCCCATTCGTCTCACGGCCAGTCCCAATCACCTTCTTCGTCTCCAGGTCCTAAAAAACACATCGGTCAGGGAAGAAGGTTACTGAGCAGTTCATATGTTTGCTAATACTACTAACTGAAAGAAGGTTAGTATCAAGTTTAGGAACATGCAAGATAGAAGACAAGGAG